TGTGTCCACATAGTCCTTGCAAAATCTCTGTAACCCCAAGGATTTGCACACCCCAGTTTAAAGACTGTTCCTTTTATTAAAGTTGCTGCCCAATCAGCCAGTTAGCTTCTGTTGCTTGGATCTCTAACCCCAGATATGCGGCCCCACCCCCGTTTAGCTTGGCCCAGTGAGGATGATCAATATGGCAGAGAGTAAGCTACAGACGGGGCGATTGTGTGTATAAAATGACAGAGAATGGGGGTGACTGGAGTGCGCTCCTCCTACTGGCAGTGGAAGAGGCTGCACAGGCCTGGCTCACTATTATTTACTCCCCATTGCTAACTGCCACGTTGTCTCATGATCTTGTTTTTCCAGTTTCTACAAAAGGTTTAAGATTAACCGATGTTCCTCCCTGGAGGGTGGAAAACAAGTGATAATGATCTAAGGATGAAAAACAAAACAAAGCACACATCCTGTGACATGTAAAAGCAGGATGACCCCAGATAATCCCCAAGGATATCACCAGATAACCTCTAAGAATATCAGTAGAAGATAACTCATCTAAGACATCACCACCTCAAGGGGAAACTAACACAAACTTCTAAGATCCATAATCCTGTCCCTATAAAAGCCTTCAGCCAATCTCCAGTGGGGGAGACAGGTTTTTTGGAGGAATCTATTCCCCTCTGTCTCCTATATATCGATATATAACAAACATCTTGCTGCTCACCTCACCCGTCTCACAATTGGCTATTGCGGGTTATTGCGGTAACAGCAGCCCTCTGATCTGTCCTTCTCACCAAGCAAATGAGAAACTGATGGTGACACTAGGGCCTCAAAGCAACTGGAAATCCACAACATGCCAAGAGCCCTTCCAGCTCTTGGATCTGTAGATCCTGATTCTAACTCATATTTCTAGCCCCCAGGATCTGGAAATGAGAGCATTCCTACCTTTAGTGAGTGTAAGAAGAAATGCTGAGGACTTGGAAGGGAAGGAGAGGCCCCACTGACAGCTGGCACGGATAGTGGGTGGGAGGACACAGCCTGCATGAAGGGACGGCGGGGGGCTCAACGTGCAGGAAGCTCCAGGTCTCATGGCTGCCACTCAAGGTCAACGGTGGCTGTGGGAAGACCACACCACCTCTCTAGGCCTGCACCCTCCACGTGTAAAATGAGGGTGGTTCTTCCTATTTTACTGGGATGCAATGAAAACTCAGATAGAAAATTTTAAAGCCCTTTGTAATCTGTAACCTTGCCTGCTGAAAGTGAAGACGACTTGATGAAGATCAAAGACCACAGCCTTTAGTATGGACTACACCTCAACATAAAAAAAACAAAAATCGTCACAACTGGACCAATAAGCAACATCATGATAAACGGACAAAGATTGAAGCTGTCAAGGATTTCATTTTACTTGGATCCACAGTCAACGCCCATGGAAGCAGCAGTCAATAAATCAAACGACGCATTGCATGGGCAAATCTGCTGCAAAAGACCTCTTTTAAAGTGTTAAAGAGCAAAGACGTTACTTTAAGGACTAAGGTGTGTCTGACCCAAGCCATGGTGTTTTCAATCAGCTCATACCTGTGTGAAAGCTGGACAATGAATAAGACAGAAGAAAAACTGATGCCTCTGAATTATGGTGTTGGTGAAGAATAGCGAATATACCATGGGCTCCCAGAAGGACGAACAAATCTGTCTTGGAAGAAATATAGCCAGAGTACTCCTTGGAAGCGAGGATAGTGAGACTTCGTCTCTTGTACTTTGGACATGTTATCAAGAAGGAGCAGTCCCTGGAGAAGGACTTCATGCTTGGTAAAGTACAGGGTCTGAGAAAAAGAAGACCCTCAGCAAGATGGATTGACACACTGGCTGCAACAATGGGCTTAAGCATAACGATGGTGAGGATGGTGCTGGAACAGGCAGTGTTTCATTCTGCTGTACATAGGGTCGCTATGAGTCGAAAGCAATTTGATAGCATCTAACAAGGTAACAACAACATGGGTTATATAAACATTAATGAACAAGCCAAGTGCAGATCCTTATGCAAAAAACCTAACTCTCCCCCAAAGATATTGTCAATAATTTTTCAAAGGGAAATAATTCATAGAAATTGACAGCGCCATACTAGGGTGATGTACTAGCAATTTTCCTTTTCACTATGATTTCTTGCAACTGTATGCCCAGTAGATAGCATTGAAGTAAACCTATTTTTTACTGCTGAGAATATTCGAACATTCATTTGCGAATCTCAACTAGCTTTAATCTTTCCAAAGCATTTCTTACGTCTCACAATGTAATTGTTAAAGGCCAGCTGACTGCAGTTTTCCCCTAATAAATATCTCTGGGGAGATACTTTCCGACTATGCAAACATCCTGTTCCTTCTCAAGCTTTTTCATCCATGGGTGGGTCTCCCTGCAGTGGTTGTCACTGTGGTATTTAATGGTGGTTTTCTGCTGCCCTCATCCCTCTACCTTTATAACTGGGCCTCTTCTCACCCATTTATTCAATCATTGATTCAAATCAGTATGGACTCATGGACATCTATTTTACTCTGTGGCTTGGAACTCAGTACCACATTATGTACTTTGCTGCTCCAAGTACCCCAGCGTTGGCTGAGAGCTATCGTTGGCTGTGTCCTTGGACCACCCACCCTTCTAAGCGTGTCCTGACTTTCTGCACCCAGAGGTCCTCCAAGCTCCACTGTATTTCTGCTCCCCAGTCCTGGAATCAACCCAAGCAGCCCAGCTCCTTGGAGCATGTACTCTAGTCTCTTGGGCCAGAAGTTTCTGTTTTTAGTCTGACTTTGCCTTTCTGTGACTTAGCAGGAGCGGGAAGTGCTTCTCTGAGTGCAGGGGGGTCACAGCTCACTCAGGTCTGGGGGGTGGGGAGGGATGGGGCAGCAGCTTACCGAGGAAGACCCAGGTTTTATTTCCTGACTCCTGACCCCTCCCACCCACCATGGGCTAGGGGTGGGCAGACGGCTCACAAGGGAAGACCTAGGGTCTTGTTTCCTGACCCTCTTGCTCCCGCGTGAGTGAACACAATGCATGGCGGCAGACGCAGGCCAGGGACCACCCTGATTCTCACAGCATGCATCCCACCATGATGAGTTAATGGGCCCGCCCTTCCTTCAGACGCTTCATTTTCACTCTTTATTTAGCAGCACAGACTGAGACAAAATCATCATCCCATTCAGTTTCAGGGGAAAGAAACAGAGCATGGTCAACACTAGTAATGGGTAAGTTCTGGAAGAAGGGGCAGAACCCGCCCAGAGCCAAGGTCAGATTTCCACTGCAGCCAAGAGCAGCCCCTCGGGGCCCACGGTGCTTGACTTTGCACCCCATCTCCTTTACAAACATCTCAAGTGCACGTTATTCTGAAACCGAAACGTGGAAGGGGAGAAGGAAGCAACCCAGGCAGGAATGTCATGTTTTGTGTTCATGTCAAAGACAACCAGAATTTTCTACAGAAGGATCTGTGCTTTTGGGCCTTGACACGTCATACCAAGCAGCTCTGAGAACCTAACCGGGTGGTGACTCCCCTATCCCCAGGGTCCTCACATGCCCCAGGGGCTGAGAACTGTTAGTTCACACTGAGTCCAGTGTGGGAGGCAGAAGTGCATTCAACAAGAGGATGACACAAGCAGGACGACGGCGAGGACAGGGACAGAGCGCTGTCAGTTAGATGTGGTGCCCTGGACAGCGGTGTTAGTCCTTCAGCTGGGACACTTCGTACAGGTAGGCACCCAGCATCTTGGTTCCTTCTATGTAGTTGTGCCTGGTGAAGAGGAGAACAACTCTGTCGGCTGGGCTACAGGTGACACCCGTGAAGCCCAGCTCCTCCCAGTGGCTTCCCAGTAGTCCTGGCTGGTGGTCCTGGCCCTGCCTGCCTGCCTGCGCGATCAGGCCGATGATTTCCAGTGCAGGTTCAGCCCCACCGCTTGTCTGGAGGAATACACGGTGCCTGACCACTGCCTCTGAATGCTGATTGCTGTGCCTTGGTCCTGGGCCCCTCCCTTTGCCTGCATGCTTGTTTCTGAACATCAGGCCTCCATTTTGTAGCCGCATCCTGACCTATCCTCCCTTAGTCTGTGTGCTTGTTTCTGAAGATCAGGCCTCCATTTTGTACCCTAGCAACTAGGTCCGTCTCACCCCCATGGTCCCCCCACCAGCAGACTCTCTACTCCTCACCCCAAGGTGGATCCTGTTTATTTGTCCTCCTTGACTCTTCCTGGCTGGACCCGTCCTGGATGGCCTACTCCTGCCTGCTGGAGTCCCCTGGCTGCTCCTCACCCAGGCCCAGGTCCCCCCAACCCCCCGCCCCATCTACAAGGGTCGGGCCTTGTGGTGTGATTAATTACCTTTGTGTGTGGCCTCTCTAGCCATGGGCTTGTAACTCCCACTCAGGTGATTGTGTGATAGGGTAATTGTGACCTACCAAGGGGATTGGTCAATTTTGCCTTAAAAGAGAGCCAGTTCCAGAGCAAAGAGGAGAGCCCACCACCACCAAAGAAGGAGACACCCGAGCCCTGGCAACAGTAGGAGACAGCAGCAAGCCCACCAAGAGAAAGTTGAGTGCCTTTGGGCAGACTGAGGGCCGGGAAGAGGCATGCCTGCAGGCACAGCTGGGGAGAGGCTGCCCTAATGGAAGAACTGTATTCTGAGTGTTCCTGAGCCTGAACTGTAATTTACCTCCCTAATAAACCTTGTGAGTATGGCCTGTGAGTTGTGTGGCAACTGCAATGAATTGTCAAACCCAGTAGAGTGCTTGCGTGAGGGACAGCTGGTGTTAGAGTTGGCAATGACCACTGAGAGAGGAGGTGTATCTGACCTCAGCCCTGTAGGAATCAGCTTCGGGCTGTTGATCTTGGTTCTCCTTTCCCCTTGTGAAGTTATAAAGACAAGAAACCGGCCCCCTCAAGCCATTCTTTCAGTTGACATCACAAGCAGGGTTCTTTGCAATGGCTCCAGACTTATAGAAGCATGGAACTGTGTGTAAGAGAAAGAACGATGGGGCTTGGGAAGTGAAACTTTTGATTCTTGGATGGTTGGCTCTGCTTGTTACCTGTAATGGCTGAAAAGTTGCAGCTGAAGTGGCCTGGGGACAAAGCCAGGCCCGAAGAGCAGGAAGACTGATAGGGGGCCAGGGTCTTCTGGTTTTACCCAGCCAGAAGCTCAAGGCCATACGCATACGAATAGAAAGATAGTTAAGACGTAGAGAAGACTAAACCGGGATGTTTTAAAAGAGTTATGTGTTTAGGATCATGCGTTTGTCTGAATGTACTACGGAGACTGAATGTTTCTCCTACCTAATGTTGCAAAGCAGACCCTAAATACATGCCAGAAACGAATATTGGATATTGTACATTACAGAGAGCATATAACTCCGCTTTCAGCCAATACTTAATTGGAAATGCTAAAATGGGAACCAGGAGAAACACAGGTTTTTCGTTTCAAGCCCGTAGTCCTGTGTAGAGTGGGGGCTTAGGCAGAAAACCTGAGCCCCACCTAGATTCGCATTAGAAAAGACAGGCAGAACCACCCATAACTGCTGAGAGAACTGGAAATTTGCATTTGAAGGCAGGACCTGCAGAAGGGAAAAAAAAAAGTTCTCCTTCTTGAATTTAAAGCGAGTGGTTTGCTGTTGGATGCATCCAGGCAGGAAAAGTCTATGTCCATCAGAAGGAGCCCCCTTCCAGAACTGGAAGTTAAATGCAGCCCGCAAGCAGAATGCTTGGTTTGCTGGCTTGCGGTGCTGGAAGTGGGAGAAGTGCAACAGTGAAGAGAAGGGCTGAGTTTGGACATGTTCCACCTAGCCCAAGGAGGCCAGGGATGAGAGCGTGAAGGGGCTGTCTGAAGTGCCAGGAAGTGGGTTTGGATGGCTAGGGATGAGCTGACCAGAACCTGACTGAATGAAGATGTTTGACACTAAGCTGGTGTAGATTTGCTGCAATTTGATGGCTCACTCTGGGCTGGACTTTGCTTGTGGGTGCAGATGCTCAAGTTTCAACTGGAAGTGAAGATTCTTCAAAACCAAAGAAGATGCTTGTCTCCTCAGGGTACTGTTTTGATAGGGACGGGCAATTTAAACATTGCCTATCGAAAATGGGGCAGATAAAGGCATGAAGTGGCTGGTTTACACGCTTTCACTCAAAATGAAGGGGCCAACAGATCCCCACTGCAATAGTTTCCTCTTCTCCTGATGGGTCTGGGGAAGATAGGATGGGGAACATGTTGATAGGATTATATGATTAAACTGTGAGTGCTGTTAACAGGGTTAATTGTGATTGTACAAAATAATTGTAGAAGCTGCATGTATAAAACAGCGGACTAAGAGAGGCAATGCTGGACTAGAGTACAGTGGCTGAACCTAAGGTTCCTTAAAGGTTTTGCTATGCTGATACCTTGTGAGGCTCAGAGGGTGGAATAACCTCAGGTGAATTTTGTCAGAGACCAGAAAAGGTGAAGACGAGATGACTTTTGGAGAACCTGACCGATCGGATGGAAACCCGCAGCAGACCTGAATGGCTGCTACCTGAATAACCTTACCCTGTGGACTCTTTGCCCTATTGACAGATTAATTATTAACGACTGTTTTGGACTGGTAAGATAATTGGGAAGGGGAGGTCATCATCCAAACATGAAAGAACCATGGCTAGAAAAGCCAGGGAGTGGCCTGTGGTGTAATTAACTATTTTTGTGGGTGGCCTTTCCAGCCACGGGCTTCTAACTTCCACCTAGGTGACTGTGTGATGGGGTAATTGTGGCCTACCAAGGGGATCGGTCAGTTTTGCCTTAAAACGAGAGCCAATTCCAGAGGAAGGAAGAGAAGCCTACCACCACCAAGGAAGGAGAGACCTGGCAGCACCAGGAGATGGCGTGGTGGGCTTCCCGGCCCATGGAGACAGAAAGTTGAATGCCTTTGGGCAGATACTGAGGACTAAGGAGAGGCATGCCTTCGAGCACGGCTGGGAAGAGGCTATCCTGATGAAAGAACTGTATCCTGAGTATTCTTGAGCCTGAGTTCTAACTGTTACTTCCCTAATAAACCCCCAAAATTGTGAGTATGGTCTGTGAGTTCTCTGTGGCCACTGCAACAAATTATCGAACCCAGTAGAGAGTGCTGTGTGAAGGCCAGTCGATGTCAAGAGTTGGTAAAGATGGCGGAGAGGAGATGTGTCTGACCTCAGCCTCACAGGAATCAGCCTTGGGCTGTTGATCTGGATTCTCCTTTCCCCTCGTGAAGTTACAGGAGATCAGACACTGTGTAAATAACACTATGCTTTTCAAAGACTTTTTATGAGCAGCAGATGAAGTGCAGAGACAAACACAGAAGCACTGGCTGAACCTCCCCAAGGCCTGTCCCCACCTCCTATCAGAGTTGGGGACACAGTGGTGGAAGCCCTGGACGTTTCCTGCCTGCAAGTGTGGAGGAGGGAGCCCTGCACTCTCCTGGGACATCCCCACTGCACACGAGGGACACGAACCAGCCTCAGGACTGAACCCCGCGGTCTCACCTGTTGAGCTTTTCGTTCTGGGAGTGGGCCCCGTCATCAGCTGCACCCACGGGCAGCAGCATGACGTTCTTGCCGGTGGCCTCCTGGAACGTCAGAGTCACAGGGATGCTGCCGCCTTCCCGGGTCAAGTCTGGTTCTACACCAAACACTGGGGGAAAGTGGAACAAAAGAAACGGTTGACTTTCAGGCTGTCATGGATCTGTCATCCGGCACACACTGAGCCCAGACTCTGCGAGGGGCCCTGGGTTGGAAACGCCCATTGTCTGGGGTGTTGGCGGTGACATGGCCCCCGACACTGCCAGACCCTTGTCAGGGGAACTGACAGCACAGTGTGTGTCCGTGACACCCCAGAGCCGTGTCCCCACCTGTCCTCAGTGCTCTCCTCCCGGCCAGGTAGTGTGGGTGGTTGAAGTCTGAGACCCAGGGCTTCCCGCCATGGCTCATGTACACCTTGAACTTGTTGGGGCTGTGCAGGTCAGCAAACTTCTTGGTCAGGTAGCTCGTCACCTGCGCCACAGACAGAAAAGACACACATTCTGGTATGAGCCCTGCACGTGGCCCAGTCCCAGGGTCCACAACGGGCCTCCTAATAATTACTGAGCTGGCAGGGCCCAAGAGATCGGGATAAGCAAGTCAGGTTTGTTTGTAAGTTAAGTCAGCATCCCAGCAGAAACCCTTTTATTACTACACATCCCTGACGGTACACAAGGGACCCTTACCGCCCCCTTGTCCCAACATGCCTGTTCACTGTCCCCAGCACACTCTCCCCCAGGCCCTGACATGCCTGCTTGCTGACGACCTCAGGGGTCATGTCTGGCACGAGTCTGATGGAGAACTTGCCCACCACTTTCCGAGGAATCACGGTTTTCGCTCCCGACCCGGAGAAGGCACCTTCGATGCCATGGAGGGAGAGGGACGGGTACCTCCATCGGTGCATCAGGATGTCCTTCTGCAGAAAATGACAACAGCAGCTGAGGGACAGTCCAGACTCCCAGCACCACGGTAATAAATAGACCATGTACAGGCCCCTGGCGGGGCACGATGACACACCCTCTGCCCCCAGGGCACCCCTGATCTGAACGTGTAATTGGAGCTGTGCCACCCAGCTGACCGCAGAGAGGAGCCTGCTCTTCCTGTGAGACCCACGTGGGGCAGTGGCACCCAGTCTTACTCCAAGAGTGTGCACCTAGTCCTACCAATTCCTCTTCTGGTTTGAGTCGAGGCTGCCTCCCCAGCCCCTGCATCCCCAACTCCACTTTCTCAGCTCTGGCCCATCCACCATCACACATCTACTCAAACCACCTGCAAAGGTTCCTGCCTCCAACAGGATCAAACACCAACTCCTGACAAATCTCCAAGGCCTGGGGCTCAGACCTTCCCAGCCCTGCTTCCAGGCCTGACCCGGACAGCCCTACCTCTACTTCCCCAACCCAGCCACACCCTGGATCCCTGCCAGTTCCGTCTGCCCATCCTTGCCTCAGCACTGCTGTCGCCTGGCCTACTGTGGATGCCTGTGAATGCCTTCCAGACTCAAGTCAATGGTCGTCCTCTGTGTTGAGGCCCCACCTACCCCAGGCACATGGAGTCCCCCTCACGATCCCCATAGCATCCTACACCACCCTATTATACCCTACTACAGCCCACGGCACTTTTTGTTGTTCTTTGTCCGTCTGTCTCCCGAGACAGAAAACTCAGGGCCAAGCCCGCCCATACCTTCCTGTATAGTAGAAGTCTAGGAAATGCTGGCTGAATCGAATGAGCTCATGTCCAGCCCCTCATAAACTAAGATCTAAACTAAAGAAAAAGTCACTACACAACCTCCCCCTAATGGATAAGTAAATGTTTTATGTAATAACGTAGCTCTTGGTTGGCTACAACTTAATCTCTGGGCCCATGGTGACAACACTAACATACAAACCCAACTAAGGCAGAAGCTCCACCCCTGCCCAAGGCCCTACTTCTCTGCACGTACGTAGTCTCCAACTCTTATTCAAAGGAGACACCTGACACTAGACGCTCCTAGCACCCCATCTGTAACTTCCTGCTATTCAGGTATCAGAGCACCCGATGACTTGGGTATGTGCCAGCGTCCAACATCTCCAGCTCCTCCCATGAGGGTCACCCGAACCCCGGCCATGTCGCGAGGTGGACAGGTGGACATGCCCCACCAATGGCCAGACAGCGTGGGCAGTGTGGACAAGCCAGCACCTTGCAGCTGTGCAGGAGGGTCTTGGCACCCACGTCCTTGGTGTATTCATCCGTATCAAAGTCGATGTCATTGTAGAGTGCCAGCTCCTCGTCTGTCACAGGCGCCACAGCCTCGTAAATGCCAGGTATGAGGATTTTCCCCTTCCAGTCAACCAGAGAGCCTGGAGGAGAGGGGCAAAGGTGGAGACACTCGAGACAGGGCAGCAACTAATCCTGACACTGCTTCAGAGACGCCTTCCCTCACAGAACACGGCACCCCTCCATCCTCCATCACAGAACATGATGCCCCTCCCCCTCCCCCTCCCCCTCCCATGGTGCCCCCCACTCATCTCCCATCAGAACATGGCGCCCCTCCCACCCCCGATGCTCACCCATCAGGGTGATGAGGTCAGTCATGGCCTCATGCACTGAGCCCCCGTACACACCGGAATGGAGATCCTTGTCACTGCACTCCACCTGAGAAGACAGAGAGAATCTCATTTTGGTGCCTGGTAGGGGCCGATTTTTATCACGGGACAGTGAACTCAACACATAACACTACAAGACCAGAGAGACAATTTCCAAAATTAAAATTTGCTCCCTCACGGAACAAGGCATGGAGTTTCCAAACTTAACCTTAAGGCAGCAACAAAAAATACTCTTGGAAATGCTGAACACAAGAAGAGTGTGAGGCAGTGGCTGCTCCAGCACGGGCCCTTCACAGCACCAACTCACAACGACCACAGGACTGTGGGGCAGGCTGCTGGACTCAGTTCGAGCCCCACCACTTACCAAGTGCGTAACCAGGACGGTCACCTGGTCCCTGTGCCTCAGTTTCCCCATCTGTGCAGTAGAGAGGACAAGAGCTACTGTCCCACTGCACCGGACCACGACGTGCAGAGCACGCAGAACAGGGCCTGCACGTGGAGCGCTCAGCTCTTCCTACACACGCATCATCTAACTTAATCAGCAGTCACCCTGTGAGGTGGGAACACCATCTTCACGCAGTAGAGAGGAAAACCTGGGTTCAGATTAATGGGCTGGTGGGCACTGGAGTCCAGCCTGGTCCTCCCATTCTGCTTCTGCTTCTAATCTTTAGTTAATGGGAACCCCACCTCCGAGCTTCAACATACCACAATCATGGAAGAAGGGCTTAAGTGCCAAGATATCTACATTTTCACTTGTAGAAAAAAATCTTTTAAAATGCTTTGTATGTATCCAGTCTTTTTAAGTGAACTAGCATTTCATCTTTTCTCCATGACGCTAAGGTCACATTATTCTAAGACTCTCCCAGCTTCAAGGGGTCATGACATGGACTCCTGACCACTGATGTGGGCTGTGCAGACCTCAGGGGACAACGAGGAGCTGAACAAGCTCACAGTGTCTGTCTAGGGTACGGCCTGCAGCTCAGGGTGTGGGGGAACGAGGAGACGCATGGGTCAGGGAGGAAATGCAGCGTGGGGCTTGGCATGGTACCTCAACGAAAAAGTAGCAAATGCCCCGGAGACCGTAGGTGACGCAGGGCTTCCTCTTCCCCAGCCAGTAGTTGTCAGAGATGCAGATGTAGTCCACGTCCTTAAAGAACGTGTCCTTCTGGGCGAAAATCAGCTTGTCCAGGCCCTCTGAGCCCGACTCCTCCATGCCTTCCAGGCAGAACCGCACATTGACGGGGATTTCCTTCGAAAGGCAAACAAGTATTAGGAGGCAGTTGGCCTTCTCAGAAACGGCAGACAGGAAACCACCAGTGTTTGAAACCATGAACTTCCAACACTGAGTTCCTCCAAACCAAAACACTCACATCTGCCTGCTCCTCACCCTGGTCTGTGGGGCAAAGACCTGGCCCAGCCCACTCTGGTTACCAAGGGAAGGCAGGGTCTTTCCTGCTACCCCCCAGGTCCCCGGCAGAGGGCTCTTTCCAGGAATTACATAATAGTAAGATGTTTCTCTGCTCATGAGGACCTCCGAACACTACCCAGGGGACTGAAGAGTTTCAGCAAAGCGGATGCCGGCGCCTCTGAAACAAAGGCCATGTCATTTACCTGCCCCTCTGAAACAAAGGCCACGTCATTTACCTGCATCCCAAAAATCCCAAAAAAACCCCGCTGCGGTCGAGTTTGCTGACTCATAGTGACCCTATAGGACAGACTGTAACTGCCCCAAGGGGTTTCCAAGGCTATAAATCTTTACGAAAGCAGACTGTCACATCTTTCTCCCATGGAATGGCTGGTGGGTTCCAACTGCTGACCTTTCAGTTAGCAGCTGAGTACTTAACCACTGCACCACCAGGGATCCTTTTTTCCTTACTGTTGTACTTTTTAAAAAAATTTATTTTTTTACTGTTGTGCTTTAAGTGAAAGTTAGTCTCTCATACAAAAATTTATACTTAGTTATGTGAACCTAGTTGCTCTCCCTATACTGACAGCACACTCCTCCTTTCCACCCCTCATTTCCCGTGTCCATTCAACCACCTCCTGACCCTCTCTGTCTTCTCATCTCACCTCCAGACAGGAGCTGCCCATTTAGTCTGAAGTATCTACTTGAGCTAAGCAGCACACTCTTCGGAGTATCATTTTATGTCCCAGAGCTCCTTTATTACCTGCATAACCATGCCTGAAGCACAGAAAGGAATGCTTTTTCTTATTTAAAAGGCTCTCCTGGTGCTACTATCACCAGTCTCTATAAGGAACAGCTTTTTCCTAAACAGGATGTTTACTTTTCCAAGTGCTTCCATAACACTGTGAATTGAGGTGTGTTACCCCCATCTCAAAAATGAGGAAATGAATTTCATTTGAGATAAGCTAAGCGAACTCCCATGAAGTCCTGGGTGGTACAAACAGCACTAGATGTTTGGCCGGAGAAACAGAAAGGCTGGAGGTTCCAGTCCACCCAGAGGTGCCTCAGAAGAAAGGCCTGGTGACCTACTTCCGAAAAATCAGCCACTGAAAACCCTGCGGGACACAGCTCTACTCTGACACACACGGGGTTGCCATGAGGTGGAGTCAACTCGATGGCAACTGGTTAAGCGACCTGCCAAAGGACACAGTGGTGACTGAACGGAAAACCTGGACCAAGTCTACGGAACCCTGGTTCAGAACTGCCTGGTCAGCACCACGTCTGCGTCCTCCTCCTTTCCTATTTAGCAGCAGAATACTTTTGCTCCCCCAAATGAGATCTCTCAGGGGCCTCCCATCTGGGACAGGCATGGGGAACTGCTCTGAGGCCGCAGCCCCACCCTTGATGATGAGGCTGCTGAGCCGTCATGAGCCCTGCAGGTGGGGTGGGACCTCAGCTCGTTCCCAGCACAAGGTGGTCACAGCAGTCCCTGGGCGTCAGGGTCCTGTGCTAGGGACCCTGGACCAGAAGGCCCAGACCGCTTCCGGGTTTGACAAATATGCTTCTCTTATTCTTCTTATTGTCATGATGCAAGATGCGAAAACTGTCCATACAGGACGACCATGATGAAGTTAGAGACAACTGAAAAGCCAGGAGGTAACAGAATATTATCAGGCCTTGATGGTAGGGGTTGAGGCGTTTTGTTCTTTCTGTTTTTCTGTATTTTACAAACTGTCCACAGGGAGAAGATGTCTCATAGTTAAAAAAATATATTTAAAAAAATAAGATTTATTTTTAAGAGACTACAAAAAGTACAGGGAACTGAGGCGCCTGCTCAATACTGCAAAGCCTATGGGGGTCCTCGGGGGACATACAAGCAGCCGGTGAGCGAAAACCTGCATCTCACTTACTAGCTGGGCAATTACCGAGTCCCCAGTATCAGGACCTTTGAACACCTGTAAAACAATTAAGCTCCTAATGTTTTCTAGAATGAACAACAAACCTATCACCCTAAGCCTGAGTCACGTGTGCTAGCACCGGTTTTTGAGAAAGCTGGTGCCTCAGATTCCAGGCACCGAATCAACTCAGCAACGCGTTTTTGACCTTCACAAGCTGTTCTGTGACAGAATGTCTTTGCCCGCACAGGTAGGTGAATCAGGCAGGGTCCGGTGTGGGCGACGCACCTGGTTGGTTTTCTGGAAAGCTTCCAGCGCGTTCATCCAGCCGGCCACTGGCCCCTTGTCGTCTGTAGAGCCTCTCCCGTACAACTTTCCTGGAATGGCAGTCAGCAAAATCATAGTTACGATTACGATACAAAAGCAAGGAGAGCGTACCTCAGTGGACATGACAGCATCCTGCACAACCACACATGGCAGCCCTGGTGAGGACTTCTCTGAGTTAGAGGCCTGTTTTCACTGTGAGGCCGCTGGTCTCCACCCAGCCCCAGGGCTAGCACAGACAGAGGGCTCCTTGGATCTAGGAGGCCATCCTGTGGCACTTCTCCGCTGCTCCTTCCCTTTCTACAGGGGACACAGCACTAAGCCTCAGCTCTGGCTCTATTTCCTGCTGCGTCAGGCCAAGGAATGAAACCCAACTCCAGGAATTCCTTCTGGTGGTCAGTTCCTAAAAACCTATTTACCATAACCGGCTTAAGGCAACCACGGTGGGACACCTGGTCAGAAGCAGGAGCCATGATCAAAATGAGAAAAACCGGTCTCATCCCCACCCCAATCTGAGGAAGAGGACATATGCTTATCACTGATCTCTCACACGATCACTCTGGAAGCAAAGGGACGTGGTATTACCCCTAATCTAATCTAATCGGTGCTGGCAGTCCTGGCACATCCCCTTCACACTGGCCTCCAGGACCGGCGACAGAGGCAGTGCCAGTGGGGATATGGCCTATCGGGAACTCTGAAACAAGCCCGGGCCCTCCTCCTCCTCTCCCCCTTGTCAGATGACCAAAGTGCAGCCTAACAGAGCCAGGGCCGAGCCAGGGAGCCGCAGCTGGAGACGGAGAGGAGGAGCCACCGTGATCCCGAGAGCTGGCTTCCTGGGGCCCCTGGCTGTCCTCCCCTGCAGTGCCCAGGGCTGCCAGGGTCAACTCTCATTTGTCCTGGCTGGGCTCTGCCTTCCTCATTCTTCGTGGGCTTTAAACCTCTGGCAGTTTCAACATGACCTACCCCAAAGTAGCAAGGCTTCAGGCCATCATGATCTCAGGAATTTCCTTTTACAGACTTCACAAATGCTAAAGACCGTAGAAGCACTCCTACAAAGTCTTTGTCCCTACACAAACACTACTAAATAACCACCGTGAGTGGAAACTGTGCTAGATAAGGAATTTGCAAAGATAGATACTACTTGGTCCCTGCCTTCAGGGGCTTTCCTGAGGGCAGAAGACAGCATTCAAAGGAATGTCTGCAAGGAAGCACAGACAAACTCCAGGCTCATCTGTGGGCAAGTCTACTGAGGAGGTTTATCTGTCTGTCTGTCACTGGGACTGACCAAATCTAAAGCAGAGAGCCTCAAACACACCCCAGCAGCAACTACATGCTGTGGCCAGGGACTACTCCACACCACCACCCATTGCCGTCCAGTCGATTCTGACTCATAGCTACCCTACAGAGACTCGAATATGTTTTCTGAGGAAAAGTGGTGGTAGGAAAGGAAAGCCCAACAGAACCCAGGCCAAGAAGGGCATTGTCTGTGTGAGAAAACAAAGGCTTTCTGAAATGTCAGCAGCTGACACACAAATGGTAAACTTGTGGAGGCCAAATCACAGATACAGCTAGAGACAATCTGTCCTGGAAAGAAAAACACCAAGAGACGCTCAGTGATCTTCCAGAATTAAAATCACAGCCATGTCTCTCCAGACGTTAGAAAAACTTTCGTCTATGAAAGCAATCAAGCTTTCAGAAGAGCAGGGCTCCTTCTGGAATCTGAAGGGTGTTTCTCTCCCTACCATCACGCTCCTCCAGGGTGAAGGGCTCGCTGTCCCAGCCATCCTCCAGGGCCGCGGGCTGGACATCCAGGTGCCCGTAAATGCACACTGTCTTCTTCTTGGGATCCGTGCCCAGCTTGCCGAGCAGAACAGGAGGAAGAGGTATCTCGGAGCCATCAGGGAGCTGGGAGTCAGGAGGGCAACATTAGGGATAATCTATGCTTAAAATATATGTATTTACAGTAAGTATTACCAAAATACCTGAGCTTTCTCATCTGTTCTCACTAATCATCCTCTAAGATAGAGAGTTTAAGATCATACTGTTCAACTGAGTCATTAATTGGCAAAAGTTTAAAACCAAAAATACCCACTGCTGTTAAGTCAATTCCGACTCACAGCAACCGTAGAGGACAGAGTAGAACTGCCCCAAAGAGTTTCCAAGGCTGTAATCTTTATGGAAGCAGACTGCCACATCTTTTTCCCACAGAGCGGCTGGTGGGTTCCAACTGCCAACCTTTCAGTTAGCAGCTGAGCACTAAACCACTGTGTCACCAGGGCTCCTTAGCAAAAGTTTATTTTCCTATAATCCAGAACACACAAACTGAATTATGTTTCCAAACGCAAGCAGTTTGGTAAATTTTAGAAGGCTTTTTTTTTTTTTTAAACTTTTATGTAATAAAACATATTATGAAGGCTGAATTTGGGATCCATTTTAGCTCATTATCTTCTGAAACAATGGTTAAAAGTTACAGTTAAAATTAGAAGACACATTTTTCAAATTCTGTATGGAGATTACACCTATGCACAGAAAAGGACATAAAAGAAGGTACAAAGAAATGTAATTCAGGGTAAGCCACGCTATACTGAAGTAGGAATAGCTGCTAGTACTCCTTTTGAGCTTTGTTCCAAAGGCCTTATCAATCTACCACAATCCTTTAAGAAGGGTGGACAGTACAGCAGTCACAGAACTCTATCTAGAATAGAAATGGAGGTACAAGAAGGCACATCAATTTCAAATCCTCATATGGAACTTATTTTTTTCCAACTTTCACACCAGGCCAATGGTCTTCACTTTTTAAAAAAAAAAAAAAAATCATGGCTCACTCAGGCTGTGCAAAAAGTCCCACAGTACATGTCTCTGCCTACCAGATCCTGTATTCTACCAGAAAAAACTTGGTGGTTACAAAGTGCCACAAGCAAAGGACAGGCGAGGGCCGTTTAATCTGAAACCTAACTCTTAAGAAAGAACAGACATAACCTAAAACCTGTCAAACTCTGTGGTATACAGGAATACTTTGAAAATATATGGCACAGAACATACAATTAATAAACCAAACATAATTAACATAACATTGAAACCACCTGAAATACCAGAATATTACTAAACGGGTAGACTAATATACCATGAGACGAAATGGTTCATTTAAATTAAGAAGAAAACAAACCAATCTCACCTGTCAGAATCCTTCATTAAAATGCAACCGACTCCCACCCCTAATTTCTCTTTTTCAGAACCAAGTTGCAAAAAGTGCTATTCTACCAAATGAGATGCTAGGGAATGCAGAACTGTGTGAATGGAAGGTATTCAGTACTTTTAAATCTACGTGAGTAAAGTGTAACTTCCTGATTCTGGCAGGAGAACCTCAGCTACAGTCTAAGAACAAACATTACATTAACTTATTCTTCAATAACACTCAGCAGTTCTCCTTCCTGGAGAAAAACAATGAGTATTAGAATGCTTTTGCTCTATTCTAAGTAAAGAAATCATGTAAAATTTAGTGTCCAAATCAGGCCTTCGTTTTCTTTTAAAGACAAGCAGGTTATCTGAAGCAAAAGACCCTTTAAGGACTTGCTGAGTGCTGTTAACCATCCTGAGGGCAGAATCTGCTCATTTGTGGCTCTGCAATGCCAAGAATGCTGGAATTGATGGAAAAATTTAGGAACGGATAAGGGTGATACCTGAACAAGATGAACATAATTGATATCACTGAGTGGTACACGTGAAGATTGTTGAAATGGCAAATGTTTTGTTACCTAAATGTTTACCACCAAACAACCAAATGCCAGAATCATACCTTTTGCTTTCCAATATCTACCAATTCCACGGAGCCACCAAGCTTCGTGATGTCTGCAGCTGCGACTTCCATCATTCTTCTGATCTCGCTCCTTTTCTCGGGCCATGCAGACACACTCTGGATGGCCACCCATTCCGCAAGTTTCTGGGTAAGGAGCAAAACCAGATTCAGAAAAGGCACTCCTTCATTTAAGAAAGACATTCCCCACCCTGCCACGTTTCAGGACACAGAGCTGACATGCTGTTGTAGCTGCTCCATTCTGAACACAGTGAGCACATGTGGAAGAATCAACCCATCACTTATATTTTCTGTTTCAAGATTTTAAAAAATCATTTGTGCTAACCCTGTACCAAGAACGACAGCGTAACAGAAAAATGTCAGAATGTGTATTTTTAACCATGAACATGAGGTGAATGTAAAATTAAGTTCCATAAATAAGCTTATACCTGACACCAATAAAACTACAATTAGAAAGATAACGAACACAGCCAACATGTCCGAAGTCCAAATTAGCCTATCAATCATCCTGACAATAGTCAAGTTTGCGAGAGTATAATTTTTAGAGGGGGAACTCTAAGGTCTTCTTCTAAAATTTGTCTACTAAGAATAACGTTAAAACATGATCAAAACTTAACGTCAAGAACAGATTAACATATAAAAATATTACTGAGTCACTTGAAACATCTCAGAGCTGCTGAAACGACACACCAAACTGTAAAATAGTTCTTTAACCTGTAACTACCTATAAGAAAGGGTCAGTGGAGAGAAAACATAAATCTCAGCTTAGTTTTGCTGTTCCTAGAAACATTTATCAGGCCCTTCTGTTAGAAGCCAAAAATGTAATTTTGACTGTAACAAGAAGGTGGAGGAACAGAGTGCAGAGAACATTTTACTACTCGATGTAAACATCATAAGTCATATTACCTTCCTGAGTTTCTCTGAGCCACATAAGAGCAAACCCAATTTTAATGTTGGCTAAAGTGAAATATCCCCTACCTTAACATAGCGATCCTGATTCTCATCAATATAGTTGAACAGCTCCGTGAGGGCCGACATTTTCCAAGCAGACAGTGGCAGGGCTCGAGACTCCTAGAAGGAAGGACAGTAGCTCGACCTGCCTCCAGATAGGACTGACTAGCTATCAGGCCCAGAAGGCATTTGCTGAGTTATCTAAAAGTGAAACCCCACCCTCCTGATGGAGATTGCAACAAGGAAGTGACCTCAGCTTCAGAAGACAAAAGCTGTGGGAATTGCTTAGTGGCTTAGGCTGATCTTCCATTGTTTTCTCACAAAGAAAATGTAGCATTTGTGTGTTCACATGGCTATAAGCAAAACTACCATCCACCTACCACCAAAAACGTTAATGGAAAGCTACCTGTTTACCCCCAAGGAAGCCCTGCTTACAGGACAAGCAGCTACGGTTCAGTGCTTTTCATTTGGGTTCCTGGCCTGTAAATATCACAGATCCCGCGCATGCTGGCATAGTCTCACTAATATCACATTCTTTGCAGTCAAGTTCACCAGTGGCTTTCTAGCTAAGCACTCAAAAGCATGATTACCTAAAGTTGTGCTTTTTTACCAAAGGAGAGTAAACAGAGACCAGACTGTTCAGCCACCCGTGCAGTCACCAGGCTAAAACACAGCTCTTCACATTAATCCAGTCAAAGCAAGTCCTGCCAGGTGCGTGTTTTCCTCTCCCTTCCCCCCACAGCTCTGGGTCATTCCTGTTTCTGCTCCCCCAGGGCCAAAGTCATTAAACGGGACCCCTTTTATGTGCCCCAGTGAATCTGAATTATTTAGATAAAAGCAGTATGTTGGATTGAACAAAAGCAAATATTTTCTCAAAATAAATAGCAGCCTCACTCCCTCTTGGAGTCTAAAGTTCCTGGAGAGTAACATAAATATGGAAGCTAGTGAGTGAGAAGAAATAGCACCTGCAGCACCGGGAATTACCTAGCAAAACACACAAACGCACGGTCCTTTTACTCCTGGGTGTTCCAATTCTTGCAGTCTCCTTAATTAAAGGCATATCACAGACTAAATAAATGCCCAAATAACAGCTTCAAATTTGTGTACAAACCACTCAAATAGGAGTAGGAAATCCCCACTTGCCCAATAGAGAGCTTTAGCTCAAACATGCAGTTCTACAAAATTATCTTTCGCCACCGTTCCCTAAGGAGACCTGGTGGCACAGTGGTTAAAGCGCTTGGCTGCTAACTGAAAGGTCAGTGATTTGAACCCACCAGCTGATCCTCGGGACAAAGATGTGGCAGTCTGCTTCCGTAAAGATTACAGCCTTGGAAACCCTATAGGGCAGTTCTACTCTGTCCTATCAGAATTGAATCAACAGCAACGGGTTAACGGGTCACACCTCCCTGCAAACATTAGGAAAAACAAAGATATGAGTAAAATAAAGCCACACTTCGGGGGTCTTCAGGGCAGCACTACACTTAGTCAGCACTAGAATGACCCTCCTGAATCTTACACTGGTAGTAAGGGGGACTGGTAGCCCTGTCTGCAGGCCCAGCAGCCTCAAGGACATTGGCACAGGCGGAGCAAGCATCCCCCCCATTTTAGAGATGAGGAAACTGAGGCTGATGGAATAAGGGGCCTGCCCCAGACCAGTGACCTGGCCAGGGAATTTCACCTTGTCTTAGAAGCTCTTTTGTACAGGCAACCTCCCAGCCTAAATACTGTTCCGGAGAACTAGAGACCCCGTCCCCAGGGCTCCTTTAACCTGTCGGCTATTTGCCGTCCAGTGACATCACCCTGAAGCCTTGGGTCAGGTGATCTGTCAGAGAAAGGCCTGTCTTCTCTGCAGGGCCGTGGGGGTTGGGGGAACGCTGTTCCCCAGGCTGTCTGGCCTAACTATCCCCACACCTGCAGTGCCCCCTAAAAACCAGGACATGACTCAGGACCCCACGAAGCCCCCCAGACAAATATGCCCCAGCCAGAACCAAATATGCTGCCACTTTTCTCTCAATCGGAAACACTACTGAGGTGTAACCGGCTGGACGCCCCCTGGGTGTGGGTGGGACCCCTCAGGCCGGGAGCTCACTGAGGGTTGGGCCCGGGACCTAGGGTGGGGTGACCCTCCCGGCGGAGCTTCCTGAGGGCTGGGCCCAGGGTCTGGGGGAGACTCCTCTGGGCGGGGCCTCCCTGAAGGCTCCCACGGACGTGGCCGGCCAGAAAGGCGAGCGCGAAACCCCGGGTTCTCACCCCGATCGACTCCCGTGCTTTTGGTAGTCCGCGGCCCGCCCCAGCGGGACCACATGGCCCTGTCTGGCCGGCTGCCGCCGCACAAAGTGCGATCCCCGCCGACCCCAGAGAACCTCCCCGCCCGCCCGGTTCCAGGCTCGGGTCCTCGACCGACTCCCGCCTCGGCGCCGCAGAGATCTTACCGCCAACTGGCGCGGCGCCGCTTCCGTACCACGTGCCCTGTCACGCCCGGCAGTCGCCAGGCCCACCAACCCCCGGATACGGCCACGGGGCTGACGTCACCTCGCCCACCAATCCCTGGCCGGGTCCGCACGGCCGCCATCGACCCGCCAACCAATCCCGAGGCTCATCGGCGGAGCAGAGTTCGCCCCGCCCCACCATCGCCCTGCCCACCATTCCCTGGCCTTGTCCCCAGGGCTGACGTCACCCCGTCCCCCTTGACGAGGAGGCGTGGGGGGCGGGGCTTTAGGTCTCCGAGGCGATGGGTGGGCGGGAAAGGGGGGAAGGAGGGGAGGAAAGCAGACGTGGAGAGGGGAGGGGAGGAGAAGGCTGGGGAGGAGAAGGCTGGGGAGGGGAGGAGGCAGATGGGCCTCAGGGGAGGCTGGTGGGCTTCAGAGCCCTTCCCGGGCCCGTGACCTAGTTCTTTGCTTTCAGTGTTCACTCCTGGGTTGGCCGGGGCCTTCTGAAGTCCGAAGTTGGGGATCCAGCAACGCTGACCACCGCGAACAGTGCTTGCCATGGAGCCCCTCGTCCATCAAACCCCTAAATAACCAGCAAAATTGGACACTCTGCTGGTTAAAAATTGCCAATTTAACGCAGCTTTTGCACTTCATTTGCAAAGCATTCACCAGCACTGTTACCAACAGCAGAATATCTTAGTATTTAAGTCTCATGATCTTAGGAATTAGTGAAGTATATACACTATTGTCTACTACTTATCTTTTTAATCCTAACAACAATTTTAACTGTTAGCATCTTAAGTTTTGCAGATGAAGACGACGAGGTGGAAGATTTTAAGTATGCATACCTCCCCACTTACATTTTACATGGTTTTTCTCTCTGAATTTCTATTTCCATCCTTCACTCTTCACAGAATTTTACCAAATGTAACATTTTTATGCTTAATGGTCTTATTGTCCACTCTATCACACTTCTCAACTCACAACTGGACCAATAAGCAACACCATAATGGCCCCCATGTGTCAGTTTGTTGTACTGTGGGGGCTGGCGTGTTGCTGTGATGCTGGAAGCTATGCCACTGGTATTCAGATACCACCAGCCAAATGGTCGACCTTCAACGATTCAAGAGGTAGCATATGATCAGCAACCTACGGTACTGAAGGAAGAAGTCCAAGCTGCACTGAAGGCATTGGCGGAAAACAAGGATCCAGGAATTGACGGAATATCAACTGAGATGCTTCAGCAAACGGATGCAGTGCTGGAAGTGCTCACTCGTCTATGCCAAGAAATTTGGAGGACAGCTTCCTGGCAACCGACTGACAGAGATCCATATTTATGCCTATTCCCAAGAAAGGTGATCCAGTCGAATGTGGAAATTATCAAACAATATCATTAATATCACACACAAGTAAAATTTTGCTGAAGATCATTCAAAAGCGGCTGCAACAGTATGTCAACAGGGAACTGCCAGAAATTCAATCCGGATTCAGAAGAGGATGTGGAACCAGGGATAGCCTTGCTGATGTCAGATGGATCCTGGCTGAAAGCAGAGAATACCAGAAAAATGTTTACCTGTGTTTTATTGACTATGCAAAGGCATTCGATTTCGGGGATCATAACAAATTATGGATAACATTGTGAAGAATGGGAATTTCAGAAAACTTAATTGTACTCATGAGGAATCTGTACACAGATCAAGAGGCAGTTGTTTGGACAGAACAAGGGGATACTGCATGGTTTAAAGTCAGGAAAGGTGTGCATTAGGGTTGTATCCTTTCACCACACCTATTCAATCTGTATGCTGAACAAATAATCAGAGAAGCTGGACTATATGAAGAAGAATGCAGCATCAAGATTGGAGAAGGACTCATTAACAACGTGTGATATGCAGATTACACAACCTTGCTTGCTGAAAGTGAAGAAGACTTGAAGCACTTACTGGTGAAGATCAAAGACTACAGCCTTCAGTAGGGATTACACCTCAACATAAAGAAAACAAAAATCCTGACAACTATACCAATAACCAACATCATGATAAACGGAGAAAAGATTGAAGTTGTCAAGGATTTCATTTTACTTGGATCCACAATCAGTACCCATGGAAGCAGCAATCAGGAAAGCAAAAGACACATTGCATTGGCCAAATCTTCTGCAAAAGACCTCTTTAAAGTGTTGAAAAGCAAAGATGTCACCTTGAAAAGTAAGGTGCACCTGACCCAAGCCATGGTATTTTCAATCGCATCATATGCATGCAAAAGCTGAACAATGAATAAGGAAGACTGAAGAAGAATTGATGCCTTTGAGTTGTGGTGTTGGCAAAGAATATTGAATATACCATGGACTGCCAAAAGAATGAACAAATCTGTCTTAGAAGAAGTACAACCAGAATGCTCCTTAGAAGGAAGGATGGCGAGACTACGTCTTACATACTTTGGACATGTTGGCAGGAGGGATCAGTCCCTGGAGAAGGACATCATGCTTGGCAAAATACAGGGCCAGGGAAAAAGAGGAAGACCCTCAAAGAAATGGATTGACACAGTGGCTGCAACAATGGGCTCAAGCATAACAACGATTGTTGAGCATGGTGCAGGACTGGACAGTGTTTTCGTTCTGTGGTGCATAGGGTTGCTATGAGTCAGAACCTACTTGATGGCACCTAACAACAACAATGATCAACGGAGAAAATATTGAAGTTGTCAAGGATTTCGTTTTACTTGTATCTACAATCAAAGCCCATGGAAGCAACAGTCAAGAAATCAAACAACATATTATATTGGACAAATCTGCTGCAAAAGACCTCTTTAAAGTGTCAAAAAGCATAGATGTCACCTTGAAGACTAAGGTGCACCTGACCCACACCGTGGTATTTTCAATTACCTCGTATGCACTCAAAAGCTGTACAATGAATAAGGAAGATGGAAGAATAGATGCCTTTGAATTATGGTGTTGGCGAAGAATATCGAATATACCATGGACTGCCAAGAGAACTAACAAATCTCTTGTGAAAGGAATACACCCAGAATACCGCTTACAAGCAAGGATGGCAAGACTTTGTCTCACATACTTTGGACATGTTATCAGGAGGGACCAGTCCCTGAAGGACATCATGCTTCGTAAAACAGAGGGTCAGCAAAAAAGAGGAAGACCCTGAAGGAGATGGATCGACGCAATGATGGGCTCAAACATAGCAACAATTGTGAGGATGGTGGAAGGCCAGGCAGTGTTTCGTTCTGTTGTATGCGGGGTCACTATGAGTGGGAACTGACTTGATGGCACCTAAAAAGCTAACAACAATCATACTTCTCTGAGACAAAAGATGTACATAAATTAAAATTGGTATTTAATTTCCTATAACCAGAAAGGGTTAAGTGCTAACTTTTTTTTCTTCAGGATTAAGTGCTCATTACAATTATTAGTATAATTGATGAAAATCACCTATATATATACTGTAAATTTTGGTGAAGAATTTGTCAACATAAGAAATAAACATTTATTGGAAATATCGTTTAATTGTTTCTATTAAACTTTAAAAAAAATGAAGTTCAGGTATCTATAAATGAGATGATTGCTGGAATGAGACAGGGCTCGATGGAAATTAAGAGCAAAAAGAAGTGAATTATCATAGAATCTATGATACACTGAGCCCTGGTGGTGCAGTAGTTAAGCACTCGGCTGCTAACCAAAAGGTTGATGATTTGAATCCACCAGCTGCTCCACAGAAGAAAGATGTGGCAGTCTGCTTCTTTAAAGATTACAGCCTTGGAAATCCTGTGGGGGCAGTTCTACTCTGTCCTGTAAGGTCACTGTAAGTCAGAATTGATTGGATGGCAATGGGTTCCGACACATTATTATTGATAGGTGCCGTCAAGTCGGTTCTGACTCAAAGCAACCCGATGCACAACAGAACAAAACACCATCCAGTCCTGCGTCAACCTCACAACCATTGTTATGCTTGAGCCCATTGTTGCGGCCACCATGTCAATCCATCTTATTGAGGGTCTTCCTCTTTTTCAATGACCCTCTACTTTACCAAGCATGATGTTGTTCTCCAGGGACTGATCCTTCCTGACAACATGTCCAAAGTATGTCAGACGAAGTCTCATCATACTTGCTTCTAAGAAGCATTCTGGCTGTATTTCTTCCAAGACAGATTTTTTCGTTCTTTTGACAGTCTGTGGTATATTCAATTTTCTTCGCCAACACCATGATTCAAAGACAACATTCTTCTTTGGTCTTCCTTATTCATTGTCCAGCTTTCGCATGCATATGAGGTGATTGAAAACACCATAGCTTGGGTCAGGCACACCTTAGTCTTCAAGGTGACATCTTTGCTTTTTAACACTGTAAAGAGGTCTCTTGCAGAAGATTTGCCCAATGCAATGAGTCGTTTGATTTCTTGACTGCTGCTTCTATGGGTACTGATTGTGCATTCAAGTAAAATGAAATCCTTGACAACTTCAATCCTTTCTCCGTTTCTCATGAAGTTACTTACTGGTCCAGTTGTGAGGATTTTTGTTTTCTTTAGGTTGAGGTATAATCCATACTGGAGGCTGTAGTCTTTGATCTTCATCAGTACGTGCTTCAAGTCCTCTTCATTTTCAGCAAGCAAGGTTGTGTCATCTGCATATCGCAGGTTGTTAATGAGTC